TCAGCTTGGCGAAAATTACGGACAATTTGTCGAAGATTTCTGATAAGAAGAAAGCACGTGAAGCCATACCGATCAATCACGCATTGGTTGCCGACACGAGTAAAAGAATAGTACCTCTACAGGTACTAAAGAATTTCCTATAACTGTCCACCTTCACCTTCCATAGCAAGGCAGGCATACAGAACCTTTCTTCATCTCTGAGAACCTTTCTTCATCTCCGAGAATGTCTTCCCAACAAAGCCTCTCGGGTCACTCAGTGTTCCTTATTCCTTGGGGTACCTCTGCAAACAAATGACACCAAAGCAAAAGTATCTCATATCACCAAGGTAGAAAGCAAAAGTATCTTATATCATGCACTCTCCCTGTCCTTTCATTTGTCCTTGTTTTTACCTGCAAAGACAAGGATAAAGAAAGCAATATGCCGGAACCTCCACTCAAACTCGGGTAAGGAACCGACTGCTTGGAACCCTTCCCTGATTGCCTACCTAGCACTGCTCTCGAGTACTCGTCTCCCACTGTTGCTGTACTTCCAAAGAAGCTGTCACATCTACCTGGAGAACAGATAAGGCAAGTGAAAATGATACCTTGCAGCATGTGGAGACAACGTGCAGAAGGAACAAGCAGAGAAGAATGCGGTCTGCACAGTCAACTCAGCAGAAGGAATCCGAGCTGAAGAACTCGAGAAACTGCCACATCTGCCTGAAGAAACAAGCAGAAGAATGCAGCATGCACAGTTAACTCAGCAGAAAGAGTCTGAGATGAAGAACTCGAGAAGATGCCACATCTGCCTGAGGAACAGATAAAGCAAGGGAAAATAATACATTGAAGCATGTGGAGACAAGTGCAACAAAGCACGTGCTGAGTCATCCGCTACTTCTTCAAAATCAAAAGTATCTCATATCATCAGGGTTGAAATCATTCTGGACGGTGAACTTGTTTTGACCCTCAAATTCTTGGGTCGACTTACTAGGCGTTGTGGGCTGCACGTGCCGATTCACCACCCTTGAATCAAATCCTTAAAGATCAAGTCACCAACTGGAAGAATAGCCCATCAATCTTGAAGATCACACCGTTGACCAAACTGCTCAGGTGTGAATTAGAAAGATTGAACAAAGCAACAAGTCGTCACCTTCACCTCGTGCCTGCTTGCCATGTGTTCGAGTTAACCTTCAAGAATCAAGCCTCAACGGCCCTTGAAGAAGTTTCCAGCCAAATTCAAGATCAAGCCTCGATGGCCCTTGAGGAAATCACAAGTCCGATTCAAGATCAAGTGTCTATCACCCTTGAATCAAAACCAGTTCAAGAATAAGCTGTGGAAAGTCAACAAGTGCAACAAAATACGTGCCGATTCATCCACTACCAAAGCCAAGGATCATCTACCACATGAAGCTCCTTGTGGTCCAATTTCAACCTTCAAGATCAAGCCTCGACGGCCCTTGAAGAAATTTCAAACAAAAGTTCAAGAACAAGCCTCAACGGCCCTTGAAGAAATCTCCAGCCCAATTCAAGATCAAGCCTCGACGGCCCTTGGATCGACATCTACAGTAAGGGACTTCAAAACGCATCTCCTACACGTGACAAGCACATGTATACGACGTGCCTTGAAGTGGGGGCATTTGTAGACATCGAAATTTCGGTAAATAAATGTTGACCGATAAATCAAAGTGTCAACGCTCATGTATTACATAAATTTTACACATAGCGTGTGACTCAACGAAAATTGAAATGAGTTGGAAAAGTCATCAAATAGGACACGTGTCAACACCTGGCAGAAACGACTTATTTCATCTGGGATATTATATTCAAAATTAGGCCTTGGAAAATTTTATAAATACAAGCCAATTTCATTCATTTGGGGGGAACCAAAATCATTAAGCAAGCTCTGAAGCTCTGAAACTCTGAAACTCCGAAGCTCTCAAGCATCCAGGTTCCCGAAGAATCAAGAAAGCTCTCTTCGTTCTTCGTTCATCGTTCTTCCAAGATCAAGCCCCAACGGCCCTTTAGATCAACAATCATCCACCAATTCAAGATCAAGCCCCGACGGCCCTTGAAGAAAGCATCGCCGTTCATCATCCGTTCATCCAAGATCAAGCCCCAACGGCCTTTTGGATTAACAACGTCGACAAATCCACACACATCCAACCGTTCTTCAAGATTAAGCCCAAAAGCCCTTGAAGATCTGTTCATCACTGTTTCTTCAAGATCAAGCCCAAAAGCCCTCGAAGATCCGTTCATCACCGTTCCTCAAGATCAAGCCCCAACGGCTCCTTGAAGATCCGCTCAAATCCACTTTCAAAGATCAAGCCCACGGCCCTTAAAGAACGTTCATCCAAGATCAAGCATCGACGGCCCTTGGATCAATCGCACATCCACCAATCAACACCTTACAGAGATCAAATCAGAGGATCAAATTAGAGAGAGATTGTAACCCAAAACTATCAAAATACAAATATTTGTTTGTGCACGTTGTTCTTGTCTCTTTTGTTTCAGGAATTTTCCGTGTTTACAATAATAACTATAAATAATATTGTAAAATGTATGTTATAAATATTTTTAACGAATTCATAACGAATCGAACTGAATATCGTACTGTCTATGTGTACCTTATGACGAATGGTACTTTAGGTTACTACCGAATTCCGTACCCGAATTGAACCACGAACTCGAACCGAACCCGTATCTAGCAATTATTGGAAACATTTTTTTTTTTTGGTTTTTTTTACTGATATTAGTAGTTTTTTAGGGTTTAATTATTTGATTTCACAAATTCATTAGACACATTACATTGTTACATTTTAAATTCGTATTTCATAACTTGGTTGCTTGATTCTAATGTCGATCCGTTACAACAGAAGTGAACTTTTTCTACTTTAAGCATGGAATTTTTGCTTTTGTTTTTATTGTTGTTGCCTTGATTGTGGTTATCTGACTTATTAATACTCCATCATATATTGAGCAATATCATGCGGCTCAAAGAATTTCGTTATGTGTTTACGCGTATTTTGTAACATCCCACATCGACTAGGGGAGTGATCCTTAAATATATATTCTCATCCCTACCTAGCATGAGTCATTTTGGGAGCTCACTGGCTTCGGGTTCCGTAGGAACTCCGAAGTTAAGCAAGAATGGGCCAAGAGCAATCCCATGATGGGTGACCCACTGGGAAGTTGCTCGTGAGTTCCCAGAAACAAAACCGTGAGGGAATGGTAAGCCCAAAGCGGACAATATCGTGCTACGATGGTAGAGCAGGTCCGGGAAGTGATATGCCTCGGGTCGGGAAGTGACAAATGGTATCAGAGCCAATCCTTGGCCGGAAGTGTGTCAATGAGGACGTTGGGCCCCTAAGGGGGGTGGATTGTAACATCCCACATCGCCCATGGGAGTGATCCTTAAATGTATATTCTCATCCCTACCTAGCACGAGACCTTTTGGGAGCTCACTGGCTTCGGGTTCCGTAGGAACTCCGAAGTTAAGCAAGAATGGACCAAGAGCAATCCCATGATGGGTGACCTACTGGGAAGTTGTTCGTGAGTTCCCAGAAACAAAATCGTGAGGGAATGGTAAGCCCAAAGCGGACAATATAGTGCTACGGTGGTGGAACAGGCCTGGGAAGTGATTCGCTCCGAGCCGGGATATGACATATTTTGTCCTCTGAATAATTCTAATCAAATTCCATTGCTCCTAAGCTAAGGTCAAAATTTGTAGCATATAAGGGAAGGTTAGCAGATACTTACCAATTATCCAGAGCTGGATATTAAGGTCTAATTAACATTAATATCTTTTTGTTTGTGTAGCATCTGCTTGGAAAAGGTTTCAACTTTATTTTTTATTTGTTTGATGATCAATTGATGTATTTTATAAAAGTTGATCTGCAAGATGTTAAGATGATTTCTTTGTTTATGTATACTGTTTAATTATATCAATGGAAATTGGTGCTGCCATTGTGGCAGTAGATGAATTTCTGGCTTTTGAGATGAAGTACTAAAAAATTTTGATTTCTTTTTTCTTTGCATGCTTTTCTTTTAATTTTGCAGGAATTCTCACGTTGCTTTGATTAAGTTATACATGGCCATGATAAGGTATTGCTCACCCCCACAACATTTTGTACATGTGTGGCATTAATATATTTTGTTTTCTGATTGAATTTGTTTTCATTCAATGGGGTTGGTGAGCTAAATAGCAAGTGGCTTTTTAATCGTGTTTAAATTGATGTCCTAATTTCGTTGGTTTTGTTCATAATTAGTGTGTTATGTTGTTTTCCTGTGTGTTTTATGTGTTTGTTAATTTATGGGAGTCTTCACAAGAAATGTTGTGTACAAAAATATTTTTCTTCCATCATATGTATGATAACATTACATTCATTCTTTTAATGTTTAATTCACTTTTCAAAGCCATGTAGATAAATACATTTAAATTGTATAAATCGCGCGTAGAATGCCGTAATTATAAAAAGGCCTTCCGCACGCGCTAATCGACATAGGGGCCTTGAACAAAAAAAAATTGATGTAGGGGCACAAAAAGGCACGAGATCTAGCATTAAACATCTAAAAATGCCCGTTGCTTCACGATAATACCATTGTTACAATATGGCCGCAAATTGAGAGATTTGGACCATTCAAGAGAGTGAGATATAAGTCGTTCGAGTTTTTAGGTTTTTGTGAGATGGATCACTGAAATGTGAGGACTGTAAATTAAATTGAATTGTCCGAATCTCTTAATTGACAAACATCGAACATGAAGATAACGAGTGGATCTCAATCCTCAAATTATTGTCGTTGGTTGGCTCCTTTTCCTTTTCGCTACTTTTGTGTTCCCACGTGGTATTTGGTTAGAGTTAATTTACATTACTGGTATCATCACATTTTAATTCTACAACTGGAAACAAAAGCAACCCAAAGAAGGCCAAACTACAAGGCCAGTCTTGAGTATTTTCATGCTTGGGACGAACACTCAAAATGTGTCTTTTTTTAATACACCAACATATAATAAAAAAATATGTAAAGAGGGCTGGAAACCAGTCGAAGCTGGGGGGCTAGGCCCTCACGCCCATATTATATTACTAGAAGAAAAACATACAACGGGAGGACATGGGACCTAAACCCGTCGATTAAAAGCAAAATCATATACAACCACTCCGAGTAGTCAACATGGCCATCACATATTGAATCCAAAAAGTTGATGCTCCATTCACCACACATAATGTACAGAAGATAACAAAATTACTACCACTTAAAGCTCATAACATTGAGTAAAAAGAATCATCTGAAAAGACGAACAGATGCATCAATTCTATTAGAGAAGCCAATCATGCGGTATACTTTGAAGAAGATAAGGAAAACCTGATCAACATATATCTTGACCATTCTAAGTGCAAATTTAGAAGTGATATGCTCCAAGTATGATATTGGACAGAAAAGACCAGGCAGATTCAACCAGTTCTGCTGTGTCCGGCTGGGTGAGAGCAGCTAAAGACATGATTGTTCCCTAATAACATGAATAAATTGAGTAAACACCAAAAGTAGCAGCAAGGGAAGGAGATGTGATGTAGATGAAGAGGTGTAAAACCTGTGAATGTCCAACAACAAAGACTTTGGAGCTTGTCGTCGAGGTTATGCAGCGCATCATTTCTGTCTCTTCTGATAAAGATGTGTGTCCATGACTCCATCGTGTTCCACGCACATTCCCTACGCATACATCAAAACCTTCATCTCCCAGCGATTCTTCTCGAGAGTTTAAGAACGATGCATCACCTGGTTAAGATCAAGAAAAGCCAGTAACCAAGTTCAATGGAGTTTGAAGCACATTAGAGCCTAATTTATAATGTATCCCATGGATGTTCATCACTTTACTCAATAGTTAGTTTTCAAGAAAATAAATTTCAACAGAACCTGAAAACTTCAGATCAGGGAGCACCATATTGTGAGCTATATATTCAAATTCTGAAACAATCGACTTAGTGGTATGTTGAAAAAAATCAGAAGGAGCTATCAAAGTAAGGCTTTTCACTAATCAGGCGTCGAGAGATTCAATATTTTACTCACAAATCAGTTATGGGGAAACACTCCCCACCAAAGCAATCTCATTAGTCCTTCACATCTCAAACCAGACAGAAATTGCACTAACAAACACGACTTCTATTAGTCCTTCACATTCCAAACCCAGTAAGTAGCCAACTTTCGTCTGAATCTGGAAAACAAGAAGCAGTGAATTTAATTTATCTTGGTATCTCAAAGTTACTCAGTTTAATCACAAATTTAACAATTAAACATATAAATGGGCAAATTTTTAGTGAAATATTAATTAGTATAGTACTCACTGTTTGCTCGGAGCAAGAGTACATTTGATCCGCTGCAGAGTTTAAGATGTCCTCTCACGCTTCCATGCAACACTGAGACATTTGATCCGCTGTTGAAGCTCAACACGAACATTGTGTATAAAATACGCGACCATCCAACTACACAGTTCAAAACTCAATTTAGAGCTCCTTCTAGTGAGATATTAATGGAAGAATGAAGGTACAAAACCAACAAAGAAAAATATGAAGAGGGACCTTGCATGGGTGGCTACTTCCTATAGTGTCAGTTAATTTTATGGTGGAAACTCAAACCCGTTCTTCGTTTATCGCATTCGCAGAAATGAGGCACGTGTATAAGCAAAAGCTCTATGGTTATTCGATTCCTTCATCCCATCTGTTTCTTCTTTGAATCAGTACTGCATATCCATGAAAGTACATTAAGAAGCAAAACCAAAACCGAAAAAGTTTGAAAGCTTTTTTATATAGTTTGGAAATTGCCAAGAACTGACACGGTTGTGCAATATGATAATTGAATTAAAGAAGTCCGTACAAATTGTCATCTGGCCGGTTACTTGGTAGCTTCAATTCCATCTAAACGCTTAAACCGTCCTTGGTTTCAGCACCTGAAAAAGACAAGGGAAATTAAAGAGAAATTAAAAAAATTGAAGTAATCACCACAGGTGGCTCAGTGTTTGGGTATAAATTCCAGATTCGTATTTCACATGGCACGTCTTGGATTTGATTTTTAGTATTGGTGAATCACACAATGGTGACCAGGAAGAGGCTAAAATGAAGTCTCTAAAATAGTAGACTGCCGTGTCGAAGTCACTAATTGATTTCCTTTTAAAAAATAAATAAAAATAAGTGAAGTTAGTGGGTAAAGAATGCATACTTCTTTGCTTTGGAATCAGTGTTGCTCAACGAGAAAGCAAAAGTGTGGATAAAATCTTTGACCATATGGTATGTCATCTGAAAAGAAAAATAAAATGTTGGTGATGAATGAAGAATGAAGAATAAAATTAAGAAACGAGAATGACATTTGAATATTTTATAGTTTCTACTGAATAAAGCTAGTGCAAATTGAAACAAGTTAGAAAACGTACCTTAATAAATATTAGAAATGGATGGGATGTGAGCAATCTTAGGCCAATCCTCACCTGTTTCTTTCTTGCATCTTTCGCTTAACATGTCGCAATACGAAATTTCCAATCTATTTAAGTTGGGGAGTCGACGAATCCCTTCTGGCAGTGATGCCAAATTAGGGCAAAATTCTTGCAAGGTGCTGCAGTGACGTGAGATTGCTTATTTCTTCCAGTAGTGATACCAACTTTGGGAAAGATCCAATCGTAAGCGATTGGAGTGATGGGAGGTTGACGACCACTTCTGGCAGTAATGTCAGATTAGAGCAATCTCCAATTGTAAGCTTCTGAAGTGATGTAAGATTGGCGATCCCTTCTAACATTGATGTCAAATTGGAGCAATTTCTAACTGTAAGCTCCCGAAAGGATGCGAGGTTGCCCATCCCATGATATGGTAGTAATGCCAAATTTGGGCAACTGGCAATGTAAAGCGATTGGAGTGATGGGACGTTGCCCATTCCTTGAGACGTTATACATTCCAAATCCTCAATTTTAACTAGTGACAGATGTGTTAATTTGGAGAGATGAGCGGAAGAAGAAGAGGCAGAGACAACAACACCAACATCATGTGTAATATCAGATGCTCCTCTACCAAACAAGGAATCAACAACCTTCCAGCTGCTCTTATAGAGAGATATTGTCTCCACATTTGGATATAGAGGCATGGAAGTTAGATTAGGACAATCCCAGATCCAAAATGTAGAAAGACAGGGAAAAGAAGGCAACGACAGATTTTCCGTTGATGAAGGAGAAGAAGCACTGTTATGAGTGTGCGCCCTCCACCATCCCTTCAGAACAGGGCAATTTACAACCCTGAGGAACTCCAGGGACGTCATCATCTCATCACTCATACTATTACTGCTGCTGGTATTGTCTGATATGTACTTCAATTTCTCAAACCCTTCAAGTTGAAGAGACTTAAGGGATGGGAAATGATCCAAGGGTGGAAGATGTTGACATCTATGACACCCAGTCAATCTGAGATCAACAAGATTTATGAGAGAAGAAAACCAACTCGCAAACCTCACACCACCATAATAATACACGAACAACTTCTTTAGATTTGAACGGGGTTGCAATACTTCCATTGACAATATAATATCCTTCTCATCACCGCCTTAAGTAGAATATGACGTTGTCAACAAATTAATGAAATAAACGCAATTAGCCATATATCTTTTTTATTTTTTTAGAAAAAATAACTAAAAGTTAAAAAAACCTTCGTAAAAAGTCATTTTTAAAAGTATAATAAATAATACAAAAAAAAAATTTAAATATGATTTTTTAAAAAAAGTAAATTATACCGAAAATATTTTGTTAAACCTCTTTTTTTTTTTCGTCAAATTAGCCATCTATCTTTTATACATTAAGGCGGTGGCCCAGTTTGGGGTCACGGGCTTGGACAAAAATAATAGGACGAAAATGCCTCTCAGCCAAAAAAATTCAAAACATCAAAAAAGAATGCATAAAATAATCGAAGGATAATTATGTAAATTTACTTTTTAATAAAATAATGCCCTGCTTCTTCTACAATCTTCCACACCGTTCCATTTTCTCAGTAGGCACCGATCAGTCGAACACCGTCCAGGAATGCGTCTCCGAATTCATTAGCTTCGTCACCAGCGAGTAATTTTCACCTCTCTCTCTCTCTCTCTCTATCTCTCTTTCTCTCTCTACTGTTATTTACTTTTCCTTTCAATCGGACTTTTTTGTATTGATTTTGAATTGGGATTTTTTGGGGTGTCTAGGGCCAGCGATAAGTGCCAGAAGGAGAAGCGAAAGACCATCAACAGCAACGATTTGTTGTGGGCGATGGCCACGTTAGGGTTTGAGGACTATATCTGCATATAATTAGTATATAGGATCTTTTTTTTTTTATCGAAAGTTTTTTTTTCACCTTTTGGTTTAGGCTTCTCTAAGATATCGAAGCTATATTTAATGATTTCATGTTTTATTTAATTGTGTTACATCTTAATTTGATGGTGTTTACAGAAGGATACATGTAGATGTAGCAATTGTTTTGTAAGAGCCAAAGAAAATGTACATCGGCTTGGGTTAGCAGTTGCTATTTCATCCCACAGATGGAGACGCTATTGATATTGAGTAATCTTCAAAGAAAGTCACCTCTTCAGAGAAGCAATATGGCAGCATTCGTTAAGCACTTTCCAAGGTACGGACTTCACCAATCCTAGGTTTTAGTTTGTTTCTAATTTATTGAGTTTTTAGGGGCATATTATGTAATTAAAGGGGAAGGAGGGGTCCAATTTGGTTTCGAAATCTTGAATCTGATCAAATGAAAGAATCAAAATTCAAAGATAATATGCCACCAATCATAGGACTCTGACTTCCAACTCTGCTGCTGCACTGAAGGATCATACTTTTCTTCATACATTGGAAACATTTTTTGTTTTTTTTGGTTTTTTTTACTGATATTAGTAGCTTTTTAGGGTTGAACTATTTGATTTCACAGATTCATTACAGACACATTACATAGTTACATTTTAAATTCGTATTTCATAACTTGGTTGCTTGATTCTAATGTCGATTCGTTACAACAGAAGTGAACTTTTTCTACTTTAAGCAGGAATTTTTGCTTTTGTTTTTATTGTTGTTGCCTTGATTGTGGTTATCTGACGGATTAATACTCCATCATATATTGAGCAATATCGTGCGGCTCAAAGAATTTCGTTATGTGTTTACGCGTATTTTGTACTCTGAATAATTGTAATCAAATTCCATTGCTCCTAAGCTAAGGTCAGAATTTGTAGCATATAAGGGAAGGTTAGCAGATACTTACCAATTATCCAAAGCTGGATATTAAGGTCTTTAACATTAATATCTTTTTGTATGTGTAGCATCTGCTTGGAAAAGGTTTCAACTTTATTTTTTATTTGTTGGATTGATCAATTGATGTATTTTATGAAAGTTGATCTGCAAGATGTTAAGATGATTTCTTTGTTTATGTATACTGTTTAATTATATCAATGGAAATTGGTGCTGCCATTGTGGCAGTAGATGAATTTCTGGCTTTTGAGATGAAGTACTAAAAAATTTTGATTTCTTTTTTCTTTACATGCTTTTCTTTTAATTTTGCTGGAATTCTCACGTTGCTTTGATTAAGTTATACATGGCCATGATAAGGTATTGCCCGTCCCCACAAACATTTTGTACATGTGTGGCATTAATATATTTTGTTTTCTGATTGAATTTGTTTTCATTCAATGGGGTTGGTGAGCTAAATAGCAAGTGGATTTTTAATCGTGTTTAAATTGAAGTCCTAATTTCGTTGGTTTTGTTCATAATTAGTGTGTTATGTTGTTTTCCTGTGTGTTTTATGCGTTTGTTAATTTATGGGAGTCTTCACAAGAAATGTTGTGTTCAAAAATATTTTTCTTCCATCAAATGTATGATAACTTTACATTCATTCTTTTAATGTTTAATTCACTTTTCAAATCCTTGTAGATAAATACATTTAAATTGTATAAGTCGCGCGTCGAATGCCGTAATTATAAAAGGGCCTTCCGCACGCGCTAATCGACATAGGGGCTTTGAACCAAAAAAAAAAAAATCGACATAGGGGCGCAAAAAGGCACGAGATCAAACATTAAACATCTAAAAACGTCTGTTGCTTCACGATAATACCTTTGTTACCTTTGTTACAATGTGGCTGCAAACCGAGAGATTTGGACCATTCAAAAGAGAGTGAGATATGAGTCGTCCAAGTTTTAGGTTTTTATGAGGTGGATCACTGAAATGTAAGGACTAAATTAAAATTGAATTGTCCGAATCTCTTAATTGACAAACATCGAACACAAAGATAACGAGTGGATCTCTATCCCCAAATTATAGTCGTTGGTTGGTTCCTTTTCCTTTTTGCTACTTTTGTGTTCCCACATGGTATTTGGTTATAGTTAATTTACATTACTGGTATCACCACATTTTAATTCTACAACTGGAAACAAAAGCAACCCAAAGAAAACCAAACTACAAGGCCAGACCTGAGTATTTTGGTGCTCGAGGCGAACACTCAAAATGTGTCTTTTAATACACCAACATATAATAAAAAAAATTAATATTTAAAGAGGGCTGGAACTCAGTCGAAGCTGGGGGGCTAGGCCCTCACGCCCGTATTATATTACTTGATCAAAAACATACAACGGGGGGACATAGTATCCAAACCCGTTAATCAAAAGCAAATTCATATACAACCACTCCGAGCAGTCAACATGGCCATCACATATTGAATCCAAAAAGTTGATGCCCCATTCACCACACATAATGTAACAGAAGATATCAAAATTACTACTACTAAAATCTCATAACATTGAGTAAAAAGAATCATCTGAAAAGATGAACAGATCATCAATTCTATTAGAGAAGCCAATCATGCGGTATACTTTGAAGAAGATGAGGAATACCTGATCAACATAAAAGACCAGGCAGATTCAACCAGTTCTGCTATGTCCGGCTGGGTGAGAGCAGCTAAAGACATGATTGTTCCCTAATAACATGAATAAATTGAGTAAACACCAAAAGTATAGCAGCAAGGAAAGGAGATGTGAAGTAGATGAAGAGGTGCAAAACCTGTGAATGTCCAACAGCAAGGACTTTGGAGCTTATTGTCGATATATGCAGCGCATCATTTCTGTCTCTTCTGATAAAGATGTGTGTCCATCTAAACGCTTGAACCGTCTTTGGTTTCAGCACCTGAAAAAGACAAGGGAAATTAAAGAGAAATTAAAAAAATTGAAGTAATCACCACGGGTGGTTCAGTGTTTGGGAACAAATTCCAAATTCGTATTTCACATGGCAAGTCTTGGGTTTAATTTTTAGCATTAGTGAATCACACGATTGTGACCAGAAAGAGGCTAAAATGCAGCCTCCAAAAGAGTACACTGCCGTGTCGAAGTTACTAGTTGGTCCCTTTTAAAAAAAATAATAATAATTGAAGTTAGTGGGTAAAGAATGCATACTGCTTTGCATTGGATTCGGTGTTGCTCAACTAGAAAGTAAAAGTGAGGACAAAATCATTGAGTATATGGTATGTCATCTGAAAGAAAAATAAAATGTTGGTGATGAATGAAGAATGAAGAATAAAATTAAGAAACGAGAATGACATTTGAATATTTTATATTTTATACTGAACAAGGCAAGTGCAAATTGAAACAAGTTAGAAAACATACCTTACAAATTATGAATAGAAATGGATGGGATGTGAGCAATCTTAGGCCAGTCCTCCCCTGTTTCCTTCTCGCATCTTTCGCTTAACACGGGGCATCTCCAAATTCCCAATGTATTTAAGTTGGGGAGTCGACGAATCCCTTCTGGCAGTGATGCCAAATTAGGGCAACTTTGAATTTCAAGGTTCTGCAGTAACGTGAGATTGCTTATTTCTTCCGGTAGTGATACCAAATTTGGGAAAGATACAATCGTAAGCGATTGGAGTGATGGGAGGTTGACGACCACTTCTGGCGGTAATGTCAGATCAGAGTATTCTCCAATTGCAAGCTTCTGAAGTGATGTAAGATTGGCGATCCCTTCTAACATTGATGTCAAATTGGAGCAATTTGTAACTGTAAGCTCCCGAAAGGATGCGAGGTTGCCCATCCCATGATATGGTAGTAATGCCAAATTTGGGCAATCTTTAATGTCAAGCGATTGGAGTGATGGGACGTTGCCCATTCCTAGTGACGTTACACATTCCAAATCCTCAATATTACTGAGTGACAGATGTGTTAATTTGAAGAAATGAGGGGAAGAAGAAGAGGCAGAGACATCAACACCAACATCATGTGTAATATCAGATGCTCCTCTAACAAACAAGGAATCAACAACCTTCGAGCTGCACCCATTGAGATCTATTCTCTCCACATTTGGATACAGAGGCATGCAAGTTAGATTAGGACAATTACTGATCCACAATGTAGAAAGACCGGGAAAAGAAGGCAAAGACAGATTTTCCGTTGATGAAGAAGAAGAAGCATTGTTATGAGTGTGCGCCCTCCACCATCCCTTCAGAACAGGGCAACTTTCTACCCAGAGGCCCTCCAGGGACGTCATCATCTCATCACTCATACTATTGCCGCTGCTGGTATCGTCTGATATGTACTCCAACTTCTCAAACCCAATAAGGTCAAGATACTTAAGGGATGGGAAATGATCCAAGGGTGGAAGATGTTGGCATCTATGACACCCCCACAATCTGAGATCAACAAGATTTATGAGAGAAGAAAACCAAATCGGAAACCTCACACCACCATAATACCACACGGACAACTTCTTTAGATTTGAATGGGGTTGCAATACTTCCATTGACATTATAATAACCTTCTCATCAATTGCGTTTACATCTTCTCCATATTTCCACCATAAATGCAACGAATGGAGATGCTGTTTCTCCTTGAGAGGCGTACCAACATTTGATTCTGACATCACATCTTTCTCGTGCCTCAAGTATTTAATTTCTAACCATCCCCTTAATTCCTTAAGCCTTCCCAGTTCACCAAGACCCGCAGCACTGTCCCTCAACAAAGAATTGTTTTCGCTCAAAACAAATCTATTCAATGTACGAAGACCATTCAGCTCCCCCAATCCACGTGGCATTCGAGTCAATCCATTACAGCCTTGCAAGAGGAGATGCCTTAAGTTGATCATTTTTTTTATGTCTCTAGGCAATTCCACAAGCCTATCACACCGACTGAGATCTAGTGTTTCCAAATTCGAAAGTCCAACTATCCAATCTGGAAGTCTCTTGATGCCATCATTATCACTAAGATCAAGATATCTCAAATGTTTCACTTTTTTAAGACAATTTGGTAATTTTTCATTTCCTATGCGCTTGAGACTCAACATACGCAGTGACTTAAAATTTGAGATAATTGTAGCAGAAAATGAATTATCTACTGAAAAACCTCTAAACTTTTGGCAAGGAAGAAGAAAGGTTCGTATCTTTTTTGCATTTAGCAAGGAAGTTGGCACTTCCCATTTCGACAGATCAACATGAAAATTGAAAGATACATGACGAAGCTTTTCATGAAATTTCTTTTGGTTCCGATCAACTATGGCGCTTCTGACCCCCGACACTAAGATTGCAAGTTCATTCATGAGATCGTGCATTTTACAACTTGTTATTACACCAAACTCATCTTTTTCTTCTTCTTGAAAAAACGATCTGCACAACAATTCCATATAATACTCATACGCAACATCCTCCAAACTCTCGTTTTCACCTGATGACTTAATGAACCCTTGCGCCACCCAAAGTCTAATCAACATCGGTACAGAGATCTCATAATCAGGTGGGAACAAGCTACAGTAAGCAAAACAATGCTTCAAATGTGATGGGAGCACATCATAACTTAGTTTAAGTGTTGGTAAAATTTTATTTTCTTCCTGATTTATTCTTGAAAGTTTCTTTTCTTTGAAATTCAACCATTCTGTTTCGTGATATTTGGTGTGCAACATCCCACCTATTGTCCTTATAGCGAGTGGAACTCCCTGACATTTTCTTGCAACCTCCTTCCCAATTGCCTTAATTGTTGAATTCTCTGGCTCTTTTCCATCTTTAAAAGCCATTTCCTTAAATAAAGACCAACTGTCCTCTTGATTCAAACCCCTTAAGGTGTACGGTTTAGCTGTGTCTGATATCTTCGCAACTGTTTCACTACGAGTGGTTATTAGTATTCTACTACCTTTTCCACCCCCCATTAACAAGTACTTCAAGGTAAGCCATTTCTCCCTATTCTCATCCACACATCATCCAACACAATTAGGTATTTCTTTCCATCTACTTTTCTTCTAAGATCATTTTGCAGCTCATCCATATCAATCTTGTCAACTTTTAGTATTTTCTTAACAAGTATATCCAACTCAAATACATTAGAGACACATGACCATATTTTCAACTCAAAATGATTTTGAATCACCTCATCGTTGAATATGAGTTGGGCAAGACCAGTTTTCCCCAATCCTCCAAATCCAACTATGGAAATGGTGGACACATTCTCAGTTGAGATGGGATCCAACAAAAGTTGAATAATTGCCTTTCTATCTTCATCTCTCCCTATAATATTTTCCTTAGGGACAAATGAGTGAGTGATCCTCTCTCTAATTATAAATCGTGTATCTTCACAATTTACTTCTAAGGGAAAGGCTCTACGGGATGCAACCTCACGAAGCCTCTTGTTAAGATCTTTTATCTTATGACCCATCTTTAACCGAAAAGCAAGTTGATTTGAGCTAGAGAAGAAGAGGCGTACCTTCTTTGACATCTTAGTATTGCCACACATCATTTGTCTCTGCTGCGCTTCAGTATTAAACTCATCCAGCAGGTCATCGGCTTCATAAACTGCATCTTCTACGCTTTCGAGCCACACTTTGACTTCATTGATGGTTTGCTTTTTCTCAGCATCAAGAAGAACAGCTTGGAATCCGGCAACTATCTCCAGGAGCTTGTGGAGCTCATCTTGGACACCCCAAATCAATCCGATCTCTTGGAAAGCAAGGGAGCCTAGCCTTCCGATGATCCGTGCTGCAACGTTGAAGAGAACTCCTTCCGCCATTTCTTGTATTCAGGACAAGCAAAAACACAAGTGAAGTGAATTAAAGTATAAACAAAGACCGGTGAATATATTGCTGCCGGGTCCTCCACGTTGTGTTGTATTTAATTTGCTTGGCATCTTCCGTACTTATTTTTCCAATGCCGGGGTCCTCCACGTTGTGTTGTCTTTAATTTGCTTGGCATCTTCCGTACTTATTTTTCTAATGCCGGGTCCTCCACGTTTTGTTTTATTTAAAGGACATATTAGCAGTAGCTTCTGCAACTAACAAATTACGGGTGGATACATATTTAATTTGTGATTAAAAAATTAATTACTTGAACACTTGTTTATTCATAATTTGCTAGCAGCAAGAGGAGCTGCTGCTGATTTTTCAGCAGTCAAACTCCGTGCTGTATTTAATTTGCTTGGCATCAGTACTTAATTATTCATCGTAATTAATAATTAATAATTCTATATTATTATAAAAGTAGATGACCGCATGAAGAAATATGCATCCTACATCATTTCATATCAGCCAACAAATGTTGAAGTTTTTGTCAACCAATAAATGTTGAATTTTTGTCGGTCAACAAATGTTGAAAGTGTGCTGCCTGCTTTCACACTTCTTGGCCTTAACAAAGAAGATATAATTTTTCTATATAAAAGCCTATCAACTCACAAATATGATAGTGAGGAATAGACACAATGTATTGTTTCAATTACTTTGTAATTTCAGTATGATAAATGAGAAAGACTAATGCTGCTGATCCAATGACATAGACATACTTACCAAACCTCATAAATATTGTGACTTATTTACTTTATATTTCACTGCACACATCCTTAATTTTACTAGTTGTTGGTCATGTTTGAGCGGTTGAGAAAATTAGATCTCCAAATTCCAACGCTTCATTTCACGGCTGTCCAGTTTCGAAATGAGAGTTGACGGAAAAACAAAAACAAATAATAAACAATTCTACTATTTCGCCACCGACATTTTCACAAACATTTGTTCTACTAGATCGAAAAATAGCACCGATGGTCAGACGAGCATTAGATAAAAATGAAAACTAACAAAAAGTTCATAAAAAAACCTTTAAATTTAACGAAAAAGGACAAATAAAAATGTAAATAGTACCAAAGAAAGATAAAAATGTGATTTTTCGTTAAAAGACAACAGTACCGAAAGTATTTCGTTAAAACTTCCTAAATAAAATTACCTTTAACGATTCATTTGTAATCACTTTTAAGAGATGAAAAGAAGATACGAGAAATTTCAATACTGCAGCTTTATTTGGAATTTGTATTGGATTGCTGTGATATCGAATTGACACAAGCATCAACAGTGTGTGTGTGCGTTTCCTACTACTGTGTGGGATAAACAGATTTGGTTCATAGACCAAACCATAGACCGAAATATGACGCCCTTTGCACAATTCACCCGTTACACATTTACTGTCGACATCTATATAAACAGCGCTGCTGGAGATAATGAACGTGCGCCTTTGGGTATTACTTTAAATCGATCGACGAAACGCGCCACCTGGTCTCGTGCTTCTGCTATTGCTCAAAGGGGATGAAGTCTGACTGGACAGTTGCACATCAGATAGTGAAACAGAACCGCTCTGTGAAAAAATCAATCCACCTGAACTACTTGAGGTGTTCCCGGAAGAAGGCACCCTGGTTGAGTAAGTATCCCTTTTGGAAGCTGAAAGGAATTCGGGCCGGAGATCCGATGATGAGGATGATGGAGCCAGGGTGGCCAGCAGAGACCCAACCGGATATTGAACAACAGGCATATCAACGAGAGATGAAGCTGAGAGGTCGTACCTCATGGTCTGCACTGGATGGTCAAATTTGCATGTAGATCCAAACTTGCACTGACCATTTTGCAGGTAGAATGTACACGGTTGCACTCCCTGTCCAAACAAAAGCACGTTAATTTTCTCCATAGAATATGACATTGTTTAACAAATTAATGAAATATACGCAATTCACCACAAATATGGTATAATGCTCATAATAATCGACACAGGGGCACAAAAAGGCACGAGATATAACATTAAAAATCTAAAAACGTCTGTTGCTTCACGATAATACTTTTGTTACAAAGCGGCCAACCAAATTTAAATAATAAAACAAAAAATGTGAAGAAGAAGCCTGTGAACCAGCAAGACCAGATAAAGAAAAGCAACCCTACATTAGAGGGGAAAGACATCTCAAAGAATGAGGGCAACAGCAATTCTATCAACGATGAACAAACTGATAAAAAGTAACTTTAATATAGAGAAAGCAAAAATATAAAACATAAAGTGAGCACTGAGAATAATGCAAGTGCTGAAGCACAAAACTCAAGCGAAGATACGTATATATCATTGCAAGGGCCTACACAGCATAGATTATTTTGTTTCAGGACTGCAGCAAAGGTTTTCCAGTCAAGGAACCTTCTGTCATCTTGCTCCTTTATTCTAAAGGACCTTTTGGATAGATAACTATTTCATAAGGTTTTTCAGCAACCAGAGGCACATTTGTTTTTCGAGTTACAACTTATAATGTGTTGCCGTGTCATCTGATTCCTATATTGAGCACATTACACATAAACATTATTCCTACATTAACCATACAACTACTTATGCTCATTGACACATCTGCTAAACTGGGGCCCACCGTACAACCCTACAATATTTGGAGGCATGAAACAGTAGCAAATATGGATAGGTACCTTTGGGTTTCAAACCTGAGACCACACGGCACAAACCCATGTGCCTCAGCCACCCTACTGAGCCCCTGTTGGTTGATGCTCATTAAATATCAAAATGTCTCTTTAAATTACATCAATCACCAATCAGGTTTGTACAACACTGAGCATTAACTTCCTCAGACCTCAATGGCAAAGATTCTTGTACAAAATATAACCTTAATAAAAGAAGACTGCTAACGAGACCAAGGTAAACGAACATACCTACCTATACTGCAGAACAATCAAAATGAAAAACATGTTTTCTCAACCTATAAACATAGTATGACTGCCTTTTCTTTGCCACCAAATTTTTATTTCATTTGGTTGTACAAAGGAGGTCAACCAGGTATGCCTTTAGATACGATAGTAGCATCCCCCAATCCCCTTTTTGGAAAAAGATTACTGTTTAATCGAGTAAAAGAAAAACAACTCTTGGGTCTACCAAATTGGATAACCAAGTGATGAACTCGATAACTTCTAACAGCGGAATTTTAAAAAAAAAAATTAAAAATTCATCAAAAATAATATAAAACAACTTTGCATACCGGACGGAGTGGGAGACCCATCGGACTAAGGAGACAAGTTATTCTCGGTACAGTTCGATCCCGAGGATGATGATACCTACAAGATGGTCCATATTTACAGTCCCCAGTTTTCAGATAGTACTGGCATTCAAGTTCGCCAGGCCTCTCTGGGAAAACTTGTTCAATCGGGTTGCTGCTAGAAGGACCAACAGAAGAGGGTATGGAGGTATAAGGGCTTGCAAGTCCGTGTGTTGGAGAAGGTAGCTGTGTTACTCCATATAAAGAAGTTGCTCCAACTGTGGGTTGAGCTCCAGGAGATGGTACAGGGCTAAGAGGTGCCTGCACCAAGTAATAACATATTACTATTAGTAATGAACTTCAATCATATATCAACCTGAATATGTCTTTATCATACCGAATACGGACTCCAACCCTGAATCGGAACAACTCCAGGAGAAGGAATCAAGACAGGACCGTAAGTCCCTTGCACATATGATCCAGTTAACAGTGGAGGCCTAGCCACCCTCAAACTGGTGGATGCCCCCCCATACTGTTCTGCCAAAGGAACAGGAGACTGCACCGATGGATAAAATTGGGGTGCAGAAGCCGGTATTGTTGTTCCAGCAGGCTGTGGATGATGGAATTTACAGGTTATGCCAAATTTGCATTGCCCCGTTTTCAAATAGTAGGAGCATTCATTCTCGCCCTGTTATAAAAAAAATTAAAATTAATTTTTAACAACTGTGTAAAGCGGGAGCCTGTGCACTGGTACGACCTTTTTTTTTTGTTTTTTTGTGAGCCACTTGCTCCACAAATTTCACAAAAGTCTACACACACCCATATGTGGATGAGAGGAAAACAGAGAGACAGAGTCAGAAAGGAAATCAAACCGGTCGTAATGGGTATCCATAAATATTTAGGGGAGCTCGGTTTAAGGATCCAGCTCCATGTTTTGGATGGTGGAACTTGCAGGACGCACCAAATTTACAGGTCCCAGTCTTTAAATAATACTGCACATTAGACAAACATATGCCACAATCACATATGAAGTTCAAAGCTCAAACAAATAAATGGACAACATAACAAAGTTGCCGAAAAGTTTCCAGATCTACATTGTCATTATCAGGCAAGAAATTCACATTTTACAACAGATTAGAAAACTATTGCATACCTGACATACGGGTTCCCCCACTCTATCTGGGTAATCCCCTGTAGCTCTTACAGCTGCCACGACCTACGTGCAGCATCAAACCGAAATCATAAACAAAAGATAACAAAATTAAAATTCACAAGCAAAGACAATTTCAGTTACCAATAAAATCCAAGCAGTTGTAACTAAGACAACATTTCCCACTGCACCGAGCCCAAAACACAAATATTAGGCCTAATATTTTCATCAAATATAGACTAGTTTAACTTTGTCGAATAAATTCCAAAAAAGGTTCCCATTTCTTTTCCCCAGCTTTCTCAGCAAACAAACAATCATCTAGTTTCAGGTAAAGGGACAAAAAACTACCTTCAACAAAACACTCAAACTTACGAAAATTCAAAACAACCTACATATCCTGTTGCAGTCACCTATCACCGAAAGCTTGAGTACTAGTTTACATATCAAAACCCGCAATTAAGCAGTATCGAAAAAGCTCATTAACTGATTGCAATGCAAGTTTACAACGAACAAGGACTTACCGCAGCACGATCGCGAGGATGGTTGTACCGGCACCGACCACCGTATCCACAGAACCCGGTTCGCATGTAGTAGACACAGTTGGGCACGCCGGGTCTCTCCGGGTACGATTCGCCGCCCGTCAGCCCCAATTGCCACATTTGCTCTACAATTCACCCCCAAACCAGAACAAAACCCCAATCACAACCCCACATTACCAAACCAAACACAAAACCCTAGAAACCCCAGATTACGAAATTAGCCCAAATCGAGCTCAAACGAAGCGAAATTAAAACGCCGAGCAAGTAAAGGAGTACCTTCGAGGCCGGTCTCTCCGGCTGCGGGGCTCCATTCCTGGTTCGACCCGTTTCCGGCGGGGCTTCGTCCGTACAACTCCATCACAAAAACGGCGGCGTGTTGGGTTTCCTGTACACCTTCAGCAACTATGAGGAGCAGAGTAAGGGGGAAAGGGAGAGCTGTACAGGATTCCCACCACCCTTCTAGAGAGGCCTTTGAAGGATCGGAGAAGCTCGATCGAGCGGAAGAGAGTGTGAGAGAAAGTGGAGAGAGAGAGAGAGGAACGGAGACGGTTGCTTCACAGTGATGGAGAAGCTTAATTGCTCTCTCTCTTAAAGCGAACGTATTCGTACTGTCTGGTATCGGCCTTTTGGCTTCACACTCACTGAAAGTTTGAAACACTCTTTCTTTCTCTCTCCTCATTTTCTCTCTCCTCCTTTTGATTCATTTATGGAAAAATCTTGGGTTTGTTTGGGGAAGGACTCCAAATATGGATTGGTGGGGAAATTGATCGGATTCCTTTCTCCTAATCTATCAAGGGAATTCGTGTTGTTGAAATTTGATCTAACAGCTACAAACATGAGTCCATCTTAAAAGTTATAATAAATTCAGCTGTTTGATCAAATTTTAACGATATAGATCATCTGATTTGAAGGATTAAGAGGAAGAAATCCGAAAATCTCTTTCCGATAGGTGGATTAGAACACGAAACCTCGAAGACATAGATGAATGTTATTAACTAATATTTTATTATTAGTTCAGAATGCTAAAATAACATTTTTGCAGTGCATGTAAGTCATTTCATCAAATTTAAAGTTAAGTCTCTGGGTTGTAGTCGCTCGATACTTGTGTAACTCAAATATTGATAACATCAATGGTAATTATGTCTGCTTTGAAGAAAGATGTCTCATGTTTCTTTATACTCTCATTGACAACAAGTTTTATGTTTGATTATGATTGACGTATGTATAACTTAGTTGAATCTCATCCTTATTTTGTTTTATCAACCAATAATAGAGATGACATGCAGATAGTTGATCAAGTGACGATACATTTATTGCTATTAAATGAGCGGACACATCATGCAGTCAGATGAAACTTGGCTAAACTTTCATCCTTTGTTTAAACTCTCATAATCTCATTGATAACAAATTTTACATTTACTTTATAACTGGCATATTCTGTAACTTAATTGAATATGATCTTCATATTGTTGTATCAAAATATTAAAACGACCAATAATAGAGATGACATGCATATAGCCAACAAAGTGACTATACATTTGTTACTGTTAAATGAGCGGACATATCACGCGCTCAGAAGGACTAATCCAAAATTTTCTATTTCATTAGCCACTTGGATAACGTCTCTTTCCGTACCGGACAAAGTAAAGGGCACCTGGAAAGAGAAAGTTTAGTTTGGGAACAACCGACGATGGACTTTGGAAATTACGAAGCAACCCTGGAGATTGGGGTAGGCTTCTGATTGGCTTGTTCTTTATGTTCGGAGCCGTCCACAAAGGACACCACGGTTAGCCTGGCATTTTGGACCCAACCCGTTAATCCGATCCGACCTAACCCGTTAATATTTGTATTTGGGTGGATGCTTAACGGGTCGGGTCGCTAACGGGTGAACCCGTTAACAACCCGTTAAATAACGGGTCACTTTGGGTCAACCCGTTAGACCCGTTAGGACCCGTTAACACCCGTTAGCATCCGTTAGTTGAGGATATTTTAGTAATTTTAGTAAAGTCTTAATAACAAAAAATAAACTTTATGCAAAAAAATAATAATAATAATTGTTAACGGGTGTTAATGGGTGAAACGGGTGACCCGTTAGCTTAACGGGTCGGGTTCCGATGACCCGTTAGCTTAACGGGTTGGGTTCGGGTGACCCGTTAACTTAACGGGTCGGGTTGAACCCGACTCAAACCCAATAAACCCGACCCGTTTACAGGTCTAACCACTGTGCACTGTACGGCGTGTGGTCGGGCAGTTTATATTCTAAATGTTTATATTCATTAGTTTTATCCGATACTGTTTATTTTAACGAAAAATCACATTTTTATACTAAAAAGTTAATTATGATACTATTCATTTTACCTTTTATTTTGTTATTATCGTTAAAACTCAAAGTTTTTAAACTATTTTCATTAATTTTCTTAAAATTAAATTGGCGCTAAACAAAAAACCCAAATTGGTGTTAGAAATGTAGCTTAAAATGCCAAGATGGTTAACGACTCGATCGTCGATCAATCATGGCTAATTTATCGGGGACGCTAACGAACAATAAGATAATTTACACTAAATTAATCTAAATTAGCATTTGCCTACACATTTTGTGTGTATGGACACATTTTTTAGAAAATGAGAAGGAGAGAGGGAGACAAAGAGAACGTGGGGGAGTGGGGGTCGTGCAACCTGTATGTCAGGTATACAATAGTTTTCTGAGCTGTTGTAAAATGTGAATTTCCTGCCTGATAATGACAATGTAGATATGGAAACTTTTCGGCAACTTTGTTATGTTGTCCATTTACTTGTTTGAGCTTTGAACTTGATATGTGATTGTGGCATATGTTTGTCTAATGTGCAGTATTATTTAAAGACTGGGACCTGTAAATTTGGTGCGTCCTGCAAGTTCCACCATCCAAAACATGGAGCTGGATCCTTAAACCGAGCTCCCCTAAATATTTATGGATACCCATTACGACCGGTTTGATTTCCTTTCTGACTCTGTCTCTCTGTTTCCCTCTCATCCACATATGGGTGTGTGTAGACTTTTGTGAAATTTGTGGAGCAAATGGCTCACAGTTGTTAAAAATTAATTTTAAATTTTTTTATAACAGGGCGAGAATGAATGCTCCTACTATTTGAAAACGGGGCAATGCAAATTTGGCATAACCTGTAAATTCCATCATCCACAGCCTGCTGGAACAACAATACCGGCTTCTGCACCCCAATTTTATCCGTCGGTGCAGTCTCCTGTTCCTTTTTAATATTGTATTTTCTTTGCTATTTTTTTTTTTCAATTTGTATCTATAAAATTTAAATACTACAAATTAGAGCACCACTTTGAGTGAACAAAAGTGTTTCCTGTCTTGAAAGGTCTTCAGTTTGAAATATGTTGCATGATTTTTTTTGTGTAAAACTTATCAACCTTTTAAGTTAATAAATTTGCAAAACTTAAAAATAGCAAAATAGTTTCACAAGGACTCAAATCGGGACCCTGTGCGGTGACACTTTTTACACACCCTCAGAATCGGCTCTGAAACCGTGGGGAAAATTTGAATAAGGGCTGCGTGGTGGTAGGTAGTGGACAAGGCGGTTCAATTGTTTTTTTATTTTTTTTAATTAAGTTAAAACCTTGCGTGTTACAATGATCAAACTAAATGTTAATAAAAATGAAGATAATTTGGTCGCATTAAAATAGAAAATCTTTTAATTGTGCTTATAAGCTGTGGTACAAATGTCGGCACCAATTTTATTTCACTGTATTATTTTTGCATTCATGTTATAATTTGTTTTTTGATATTAATGAAGTTGAACCAATGATTTAATTAAAAAAGGCATGGTCCCATCATTTGATAGATAAATATAATTAGCGCTTTTGTGTACCTTACCATATTTGTTCATGCCTTTATAGTGATAGCAACCATCACCCACTTTTGTTGCTAACTAGTACTTACAAGGACTATATAAGTTTCCTATATGTTTGTCAATTAAAATGTATTCAAAGAGTTGGCTTAGTTGGTAAGATCCTCACTTTGTGTGTCACCCCATTAAGGTTGGAGTTCATTTGCCAGCAGTTCTCGTTAATGCATGATCTGTAAATTTCTAAGCAAATCCATACTGGTGACAACTGACAATTAGGTTATATGTGTATGTTCTTCCAGCTCGAGGTTGTGAGTATGTCCTCATGCTGGTGATGAAAATAACCAATCTTGCCATCTTGCCATAAACTTTTGTTCACGAAAAAAAAAATAGTATTCAAGTGTAGGTTGTGGATGGAAACAAAGAGGAAGATAAAAGGAAATTCATTTCTCAGTCTAATCGTATTTTTATTCCTTCTAGCTAGGTAGGTGGTGAATGGGATCACATTTGCCTGTGTCAACTAACATTTTTGCATGGGGTGTTATTGTGGATATCATGTTGAAAGACGAGAAAAAACAGAATAAACTCAGAAATCGAAAAACAAAGTAATTAACATGAATATTACCAAGAATTAACATGGTTCGGCTATTTGTGCTTAAGTCCACGAGATAACAACAACAATCTCTCACTATATTAATAATGAGTACAACGGATAATCTTAACAAGTCTCTAATTTAAGACTTGACAAACAACTTGAAAGAACAAGAACAAGAAATGCAATCTTATCTCTTTTCTTTTATTTCGCACATACTTTGCTCAAATTTTAAGTTTTAATCCAAGAAGTAAAGATAGTCTAATGCCAAAAATATTATGAACATAATTGCTTTATACAAAAGTTACTTGCATTGCATTTGTAACCTTTTGTTATTCATGTTGACAAAAAAAAAAGAACTTTAACGAAAAGCTTTTGGTACTGTTCACTTTAACGAAAAACCAAATTTTTACACTAAAAAGTCAATCTTGGTACTATTCACTTTACTCTTAAAGCTCAAAAATTTCAAATCATTTTTATTAGATTTTCTAAAAAAAAAACCTTGTGTTATTCCGGTTGTGGGATACGATATCTAAGTTCCCAAACAGGACGCGTAGGCGGGACCTTATCTCTTCCAAACGCCACATATCTATTTAGGCGCGTTTTTCCTTCCGACCTGCAACTTCCATGGCTGCAATGAGTGGCCTCGCTACGAGCTCCACTCCTTCTCGATTACTCGCATTTCCAATAAGACGCGGTTTCCCGGACCACTCGTCTTCGCGCTCCGTGGTCATCAGTAAACCTCCTCCCAGAGCTCCCAGACTCGTTTGCATGGCGGTTTGTACATCCACCCCAAAAAATTATAACAATTCCGAATTCGGAGCATTGAAATTGGAAGTTTACAGCTTTCGAAATTGGGGTTTTGTTATTTTTGAAGGAAAAAGTTTTCCCCTGAAACAAACAGTTGTTATGGGATGGCATTCTCATTTTCTGGTGTTATTTTTGTGGAATTGCAGGAGCCCTATTTGATTACAAAGCTGGATTCTGCAGAGAAGACCTGGAAAGATTTATCGGTACGATTCGTACTCTGATTGAATGTTTTGGGTTGATGATTTTAATTTTCCCACCCTGTGCGTGTATGTGATGTGAGATTTTGAGGATTAGTACTCTGTTACTGTGTAGTTTAGTAGTCTAGGGTTTTAGGGTTTAGGGTTTTGTATGACGGAGAATTTGAATGATTTGCGAAAATTGGGAATAAAGAATTTTGGCGATTGGGATTTTGATGGTGGTGATTACAATTGAAGACCCCATTGCAGAGATTATTTTCAGATACAACTTTGGACTTGCATATACTCTTAACCGAATTCGAATTTATCTTTTAATTGTACAAGAAAACAGATAGAAATGCACCAACGTAATCCTACAATTTTTTTATTCAATAGGCAAAAACTCCGGACTTTCTCTCGAATGCTTTGAATCTAATATCTAGTTACGATTTTGGTATTTCTGGTCCATGCGATTACGAAGGATTTTGAAAGATCAGCGTAAATTGGGTTAAATTGTTTTTCATGCCTATCTAGTTCTCTAATTATCAAGAGTATAGATTCGTGTACTGTGCTGTTGCATGGTTAGTTATTGCTGTTGTTTTCTCTAGATTTGTGTATGCTCATGAAGAAGGGGAACTTTGTAGGTCAAGCTGGCTGATCCAGACGTTGTGTCAAATCCCAGTGAATACCAGAAGCTTGCGCAGTCTGTGGCAGAGCTTGATGAGGTGCTGCGGTTTATCTTTGCTACTTATCGTGCCAGGTTTTAGTTGTGTGTTCTGCACTTCTGCTTGAATTTCTTTTCAGATTTAACTGACAATATTTTGCCTTTGATTTCAATGGACAGGTCGTGACAATCTATAGGGATTTCAAAGACTCCGAGAAGCAGTTAGAAGAGACTAAAGGTTTATGTAACTATATGCCTGTGTAAAACATTCCTTTCGGAAAAATTAGAGGTATTTACTAACATTCATTTTGATATTTTACCCCTCTTCATAATCGGTGATTCAGCTTTAGCAAAAGAAGCTGGCAATGATGAGGATATGGCAGAGATGATATCTTTTGAACTTGAATCTTTATCCAATCAAATCAAAGAACTTGAAGCGAAGCTCAAGGTATTATTACATGCACAATGGATCAGTTTGGCATTCTTAACTACTTTAACCGAATATTGTTGTTTCCATTTTCTAATGTTTTCCTTTCCATAGTAGGAATATCAATTGGGATAATGTTTCATTTTATATTAACAGATGCTACTCCTTCCTAGTGACCCTCTTGATGCAAGAAATATAATGCTTGAAGGTAATCTCATAGTTTCCCTTGAAATAAACTATTCTATTGATTGCTTGAGAACCACATATGATGTTTAACCACGTAAAATGCTCTCGAGTCTAGGAACATCATATGTCCACACCAGATTTGACTGAAGCTGTACCTTATACATTTGAATTCTCTTTTTCTGCAGTAAGGGCTGGTACTGGTGGTGATGAAGCTGGAATCTGGGCAGGTGATCTTGTAGGTATATGTTTCTTTTGTCATTTAAAATCTGTAGGATACATGACCATTATTTTTTATTTGCATAAACAGAAAAGTTGGTAAAATAAAGAAAAACTCATACTATATTCATGGGGTAGGTTACATAGTGCATTGCGTAAACTTCAAAAGTCTTTGTTATTGATGTGCCTGTATACTCTTTCTTCTCCTTTATGTTTTATTTTTCAATGATAGGCCTCATTGGCAAAACCAACTATTCTTGTGTTATGAAATCCTTCTTCTGAAGTTGCTTCCAAGCATATCTTAATGCTTCTGCATTTCTTTTGCTTTTCTATTTTTTCGTACCAAGGTCCGTATGTATGAGAAGTACAGTGAGAGGAATAATTGGAGGTTCAGCACAGTCTCAAGCTCAGAGGTATGCTTCACTGATATTTTTAGCGGTATATCCTGTTTCCGTTGACATAGTGACAGAGCTCTTGCATTATTTTAGGCTGAAAGAGGAGGATACAAGGCCTATGTGATGGAAGTCAAAGGAAAACGTGTATACAGCAAATTAAAATATGAATCAGGTGTTCATCGGGTTCAACGTGTTCCTCATACAGAAACACAGGGTCGCGTGCATACTTCCACTGCGACTGTTGCGATCATGCCAGAGGTAGCTTATATTTTACTTGTCACTGTAATCTTTTATGTACTCCATGATCAAACATTTTCTGATTCATTGACTTATTGTGCTTGTTCTGTGCCTTACTATAGGCGGATGAAGTTGAGGTGGTTATCGACCCAAAAGATATTGAACTGACAACAGCAAGGTCTGGGGGAGCCGGAGGTATTTATGTGCAAAGAGTATTATTTTCTTAATTAACACTATTTTGCATGTCTCACTCTTTAGAACAGGATTTCCTATGTGAGTTAAGTCTCATGCATGATTATCGTGCAGGGCAAAATGTCAACAAGGTGGAGACAGCTGTTGATCTTGTCCATAAACCAACGGGCATCCGCATCTTTTGTAGTGAAGAAAGGTCTCAACTTCAGAACAAGCATCGTGCTTTTCAGTTGCTGCGGGCAAAATTGTGAGTACTGATTTCTCTGTTTTAAATGTCCTGATATTCTTATTTTGTTAGTCACATTAACTGTTCCTTTTACTAAACATTTTGAATTTTGCATAATATTTTCGACATAGCTTGACATATGCATGTAATCAACGCTATTCACACATAATACCTCTTGTTTGCACACTTTTTCCTTGGTCCATGATGATCAACGGCATTGTTACAGGTATAAGATAAAAGTGAGAGAGCAGCAGGAGTTGATTAGGAATCAGCG